TAACACCGGAACAAGGCAAATCTGCAGAATACCTACGTATGTAGGTATAGTCTAAGTATACCCATCGATGGACCATGAACGGGAGGAGAGGTTGGAGACCGGATAGGTATTGGTTTCTGAAAGGGGCGGAGGAGGCGGGGCAAGCCCATGCCCATGTCCATGTCCATGCCCATGCCGAAGCAGACATTTGTCGCTGCGATGCTGCAAGTGCTCAGCCATCACCTACCTAGGTAAGTAGGTATCTAGGTATTCATCGGTACGGTGTGATGTACCTATACGGGCTACACAGCAACGGTTGCCATCCCGCTAGGTAGGTAGGTAGTTAACACTGACGGATGGACGTGGAGTCGTGGTCGTAGTCGTGGTCGTGGTCGTGGTCGTGGTTGTGGACAACAGGATGAACCGGACCAAGTTCTGCTGGGGGGGGTTGGAGCTAGGATGGATGGCAGAGAAGGGTTGGAGAAAAGCACCGTGGTTGGCCAAATAACTCCGCCGCCAAGAAAGCAGAGCGCTTCGCGGGGACGCTAACAGACCCCAGTTGGAATTCTTGGCATCTCATAGGCCGGGACCGCTCCCTCGGTCTTGAGCATTCGCCAATCACAGGCATCTGTCACGACGTGACGGCAGTTGGTCCCGATAATTATTGCATAGATCGCCTGGTACAGACTGGTACGGGCATGCTTTTTAGTTGAATAGCACCGTGAACGGGCGGTAAGCAAGCTTACCTATTCGGTAATTCCATCCATTGATACCTAGGTAAGTACTTACTACCTACCTAGGTATGTATGTATGCACACTGGTAGCATTGCAGTGGCCAGATTTGTGCGGATAAGGATTCCGTACGGGGTGCTCCATGCCCAACTGATAAATGCTTCATTCGTCGTGGGCACGCCGACCATGATTCCACCTACCTAACGGTACAGACTAGGTACTTCACCAAACGAACCTAGGGAATGAGATTACATGTCTTCCTTCACAGACTAAGACAACGCTAGGATTCCCATCACTTTTGACCTTTGTAAACAGGTAATACCTATCTAGGTGAATTGTATTCCGTATTATCTAGGTACTGACTGTAGGTATTGATGTGTGAGAAAAGAAAACCCGGCATTGCCAGCTTGGAGATACCTATCTAGCTAGTGGCCATGATATGATAGGTAAAGTTTACCGTATGATGGATTTGCAATTGTTCACAAGCGGGTCATCGCAGTTGCGACCTGTCCTGGGCCGTAGTCGCAGTCAGATGGGTTCCGCAAATCCCGTTCACATACGGATTATCCCGCATCGCCAGGGGATTTTCACTCAGCCATGCCGCTTTTGGCCTGAGAAAGTATGGATCCGTATCCACTTTACAGTCTGTAGCACAGGCCGGGGTGCGGAGTTTTTTGAAGTTTTGCGTGACCGTTTTCATTCTATATTATCTAACTAAGTTACGTCCGTACTCAAAACGGACCTGTGTATGGGATACCTATCTAGATACGTCCGTACCTTGGTATCTACTTCGTACTACGTACATATGGCGATTGAAGCACATACGTCATCCCCCAGACAACGACACCAAACGCGCTGGCAATGTGGTTTAATTCGACTCGATTCTCTTTTCTATCAAGGCATTCATATTGCCTACTGATATTACTAACTACTAACTTACGTAGTAGGTAGTAATTGAACGAGATACCTATGAAGAATGAGCCATTCTATCACCGAGCCCTCGGCGGTTGAGGACTCCGTCATCGGAGTAGAAAGCAATGCCTAAGCGGTCGTGACGCGCGCGTCCGATTCGGCCCGGCGAGTTGCTTGACCTCGAACATCCACTCGTACGAATTCCTAAGTTGCCAACTCAATATCTATATCAAGGCCACCAAGATACAAGGGCATCTCAACCGGGGTTAAACTGGGAGCAAACGATTGTTGTCCTGCTACGACAGGAGAGAGAGAGAGAGAGAGCGCAAAACATTCACTTCATAGTCCCATTTTCCATTCGATGCTCTCTATCTCTATTCGGAATCGGACTCCTTTTTCTCGCCCTGGCTTACATCTCCAATGTCAGGTTGACTGAAGCCAGAGTCTTGTCCTAGAGCAGCAGATTGCTAACTGGGGTTCCAGATGCCGATGATCAGCTCGATGCTTGCATGTCCCCAAACTTTGGGTACTGAGTCCTTAGTTATGCTACAGCAGATGAAGATATCTGGCGGAAAGCTATCACAACCTCGAGGGCATACTTTTCGGTCCAAGTTAGCAAAGAGTGCTTACTACCATAGACAATGGCACCTGAGCAGCTTGCTGGTTTGGCTATAGTATAATAAACGCATATCAAAATGCTGTCCCGAAATCGAAATCGACACAGAAAGTGGCTCGTCCCGCTGTAGTCTGATTATCTTTGAGCGGGTTTGTCAAATGTTTTGCCGTAGACAACAAAGCAACGCCGTGTTAGTCATAGCGCTGCTATCAGTCTGCCTTCTCAATCCAGTTGGTCCAGTTGGTCCCCTCGTTTCAACCGGATCCTTCTCCTAGAGATGACACTGACGAAATTCAACGACTCTCGGCGACGGAAGCTCAAGGGATATCTAGATACCTTCTTGATGCTTTGAACGGGTAGAACAAGGGTTATGTATTCGTGCCATGATGGTCACTCATTTCCCGTTTGTTACGGTGCTATCAACTACGTGTAGTGTACGTGTACGTGTACGTGTACGTGAAAGAAATTATGCAAACAGGTTTACCTGCCTATTAGGTATGCATAAAGTGCTCAAGGTAGCATCGAGTCAAAAGCGGCGTCGCTCGGGAAAGATTCTCATCACGACACCAAAATGCAGAACACAGGCAAACTTACCATCGAGGCAAGGCAAGGCAAGGTATCATGCATATACTTGGAGTCGCCACGGCCATTTCTTTTTGGATATTTCAGCGCCACTCTGGGGTCCCAGATGTGCAAATACTACACACCACGAGGATATTCTTAGCAGCTCGCATTGAGAATGCCCACCAAAACGAGACAGCTACTTTTTCTTGTCCTTTCTCTTTTTCTCTTTTTCTCTTTTTATGGAATTCGACAGAGGCTAGGTATGAAGTTGCTGTAGCTGGAGTGAATGAAGCAAAGCCATCCCGGGATGCTCTATCGATGATTCCCCCGCGCGTTGCCGCCGCCGGGACGAAGGATTCAGCACAATCAGCGAGGACGCAACAACCCGTTGAATATTCTCACTAGGTACCTACATGTGCCGCCCCCGGTTCAAACCCCATGTTGCATGAGGAATCTAACAATCTGTCCCCGCCTATATATAGGCATAAGTATAGGTAGCATACCTCTAGCTCAAGGTGTCAATCACAAGGCATGGCAGGCTGCTAGACATTGTCAGATGGTAGGCACACCTTCGGCCGAACAGCATCGCAAAAGCAATGCCTTCCGGTCCCAGTTCTGTTTGTCCTCGAAGCGCATGAGGAAAGGCTTTGTGAGGGTTTTGTTAACGGTTGCGCCCTGAATTGCGAAAAAAAGAATCACGGTTGAACACATCCTGGAGCATACCTAGGCAATTGCCTGCCTGACTTGCTCCAACATATCATAATTGTTTCCTCCCCCTCCCCCTCCTTTGACTGTTGAGATGCCATATAAGTAAGTAGGGAGTCCCTAGACACTACATTAAATTTGAGGCGTCCCTGTCAAGCCCAATACTCGGTAGCAAGCTGACCACCGTCGAGGGCTTGAGCATCCTGCTTGGTTGTCACGCATAAGTATGTTTCCATCTCAGTCCTCGCTAGTTTGCTATTATAGAGCTTTGCCTATCGTTCATGGTATTGATACCAGCAGCATATGGGCAGCCATGTTTGCTGACTGCATCGAGAAGAGGCATGCCCTACACCCACGCACATGAAACTCACGCATTGTGCAATACGCATAACAGCCTCTACCGTTGGATGACTGGCAATACAGGGTGTTCCTGACCCATATCATTGGCTGCTCAGCGTTCTTTTTTCTTTTGTTTTTTTTTTACATTACTCATGGGGGAGTCACTAACCTAGGTATCTAGTTGAGTCGGCTGGCACTTGTGGTCCTGCTCCTTGTTGTGGGAAACATGTGATCAACTTAGACGAGGTTTATTTTAGGGATATTTTAATGGTTTGTTAGCGGCGTGACGGCAACTTCTACTTACTTACGACTTTGTAGCCCTGCTTCCTTACGAAGAATGTACCCCTAAGGCACCACCCACACTACCTACCTAGGTATGCTACAGGCGAGATATCTAGGTTATCATCTTCAGCTTGTACTTGTAGCCTCACATTCAGTCTATCCTTGTCCTCGGTTCGCCGAGCACAAATCCTTTGCCTCAACTACCTACACAAATAAGCCCCGCGACATGCTTGAATAGGTTTTTTTTTTTTCTCGGTTACGCAATAAAGTGAAGAGGCAATGGTTCTCCTCTCTCGACTACCTATTTTCTATTTTCAGAGGACACTAGGTAATTAGTAAGTAGTCGGCGAGAGTTAAGTATACATGTAGAAATTTAAAGCGTGCGCGAGAGAGGCAGACTGAGACCTCAGCATGACAAGGTGGCAAAACGATGTTCCCTAGAAAAGGAAAAGAAAGAAAAAAAAAAAGAAAAAAAAAGCACGATATGGGTATTGTGAGATGAAGAATTCGAACTCATCAGTAAGTCTTCTTTTACAGACTGTACATCTGGAAGCCATTTCAAGTTCCAATCCGTTCGATTGTGAACCTTTTTGTCCACCTCCCCGAGATTTCGATCGGCCGTATCTCGGACAATTCGCGGAGATCTACGGACTACCTACCTCCATACCTATCCATCTAGCCTGCTCTCCAAGCACGGTTTATCCCAGATAGAACAAACGGGACCGGGGCCCAACTACCTATCTAGATAGGTAATGAAAAAAGCTTTGTGCCTTACTTAAGAAAGAGATTGGGGAAATACCCCACCACTTAAACCCGCTTAGCAGAGCCCGTCTCCAACGAGCAGAGCATACCGACTCGCCCACAACAAATCGGCTTCGTGGCCCAATGGCAAGGCGTCTGACTACGATAGGGGGCAGTACATGGCAGTACATCCTCAGCGATAATCAGGAGATTCTGGGTTCGACCCCCAGCGAGGTCATCTTTTTGTAATTTCTCTTTTCCCCTTTGATCCAATCAACATGGCTTTCTCCCGGTTTCTTTTTGGCGTTGCCGTTTTTCTGAATCTTGATTTCGGTCGTGAGGCCATTTCTTAACCGGGAGAGACAGACACCGTGACGCTTCTCTACCGATGTGATTACCTATCTACCTATCTATCTATTTGATAGGTATTAAAGTGCTAACCAGCGATACCGAGAGCCGGTTGGCTTACTGGTACCAGCTTGTCGCCTCTGGGGAGCATGAACATAAACATTGCACGAGATGCTGGTTAGCCTCAAGGAACCTGAAGGATGAAGGGATTGAAATACTCGACTCCTGGGCGGACGGTCATGACAACAACCCGCTTGTGCGCGAGCGCCCGGACAATAAAGGCACGGTTCAAAGTTGATGTGTAAAGTGTATATTCATACATCAATATCGTAGGTGCGTGGGCATGCTACCGAGTGCGAGTGGGCACAATAGGTATCCTCTGTGTGTGTGTGTGTGTATTCCGTACATTGAATTAACGCTATCATTATATCATATACTCTTCATCATTTCCTCGTCTTCCGGGCGTGCTTCACGAGGTTCTCTATGACCCCCTCAAACGCCTCTCGGTCGCCAATCTTCTCGTCTGTACGTTGCTTCCAGAACTCGTGCACTTCTTTCGCTATAACTTCCATGTCTTTCAACTTCATCACGTGTTGCTGGAGTTCAAGATCCGTCATTCCCCTCAGCGCCTCCTCAGTCGTCGCGCACAGCTGCTTTGCGGCGACCAGATCAAAATCTGGAATCTGAGGAGGGGTTTTCCGCTTTTTCGACCTAGACCTGGGCTTCTCCTTGCCTTGTGAATCAACCGACACAGACGAATCATTAGCGTCGGATTTCCGTAAATGGGAAACAGAGCGAGAATCTGTGGAGGTACGAAGCGAGCCGTTTGACGTGATCCGATGTAGAGATGGAAGGACCAGCTTCTTTTGTTTGGAGGCCGGCAGAATCTCGTCTAGATCTACGGGCACTCCGAGCGAGACTAGGAACAGCCTTCTGATGCGCGAACGGATCCAATCTGGAGGTTGAAGGGGAGGCGGTGCCGCTAATTGTGACCATAGTGATGCGCTTCTTGGGTTGAAGAATATGGGGTTGTCGTTCGGGGGTGACGGTAAAGGAGGGATCTCGAGCACGCTAGGTGGGTATAATGCATCCAAGTAGGGCTCCGAGGCGGCCAGGATGTCTTCAGAGTCTAACCCGTCAAGATCTAATATAGGCTTTGGGGCACACGAAGGGTCAGTAGAGCTGTGATAAAGACTACCTATAGTATTTGAACGTACAAAGGAGGGTGCAGGGACATGCGACTGGCTTGTAAGCGGCTGAGCATCCACAGGTGCTTCGGCCTGCTGAAAGCCATCATCAAAATCGCCAAAATCTGCATCTTCGTCACCAGCTTCAAAGTCGTCAAAGTCGTCACCAAAATCGTCATCATCGTCATTCGTCTCAGTTGTCTCAGTTGTCTCAATTGTCTCCTGGTTGCGAAGACTCGCGATTGGTTTGGCCGCTGAGGATTTTCTCCGTCGCGCGATGGACGGGGATTTTAGAGCTTGATCCACGGCCATATCATCTGCGGAGGTATACAGTCAATCGTAGTGTAGACATTAAGAGGACTTGGCTGCCGTACCGGTGTCTTGTGTATTGGCGTCTAGCGGACCAAGAGCACGGTTGGCTACGTCAGGGTCACCAGGCTTCCGGATAATATCTGGCGCAGCATCCGCCTGGCGCAAATGTTCATTGTGACGGTGAGTTGACGATGTGGGAACATCGTCCGTTTCGTCAACTATCGTTTTTGGAATGACAGTGCTTCCAGTCGCAACGGCAGGGCTGGTTGATACGGGCTGGTCGTCCTCGTCCTTCACAATGGCAATTTCATCCGGTGGCGCATCTTCCGTCCGCCTGTTGTAGGCTTCGGTGCCAGGGACTTCACCATAGGAGGGCTCGTCATCTACTTTCTCGACCCTGGTCCTTGGGATGGGAGAAACTGCTCGTGTGCTACTTCCGGGGGCCGACTGGGCGTCGGAATAGTGCTCGTCTGAGTCAGAGGTTTCTAGAACGACACATATTAGGCCGGGCGCGCAAATGAGAAGCAGGAGGGGAAATGCGTACCCAATTCGTGGGCACCAGGATCCTCGATCCCTGTTCTCACGGGTGCCTCGAGACTAGATGATGAGGGCCTGCGCTCTCCAGACATGTCTAAGAGACGCCCTGTCTAGTAAACAGGTTCGATAATGCACACTTGCGACGAATGTTCGATATTCGATGAAGCCCGATATATAATGTCGGACAGTGTCGGGCGCGTAGGGGTTCAAGAGTAGCACCACGAGATGGTTGAGGGGTAGGTAGATCGAGCTGGGTAGGTAGGTAGTATTTAAACTGTTCGACTTGACAAGGGAGAGAACGCGCAGGCAGTGGTTAAAAGTGTAGGCTCAAAAGGTGAGAGGTTCCAATTGGCGATTGAAGGCGATTGAAGGCGATTGAAGGCGATTAGGGAGTCAGGCACTAGCTCACGGTCAAGCCCGAACGTATAGGTAGGCTTCTAACAATTACTCTAGGCACTCCTAGCGATTCATACAAGCGACGGCAGTAGGTTTGGAGAAAATGAACTTGGACCGATTGAAACCTGGAACAAGCTGGGCTCTGGCTGGGGTGTTATCGTACCTACAGTAGCGTTACACGGAATCCCGCACTGAGTATGGGATATGTGCACATGCAGTATCTATACTAAGTAAATATTACATTTCTATGCATATTTGAGCAACTAGATACCTAGTTATGCGAGTTAGGAGCTACCTACCTACCTACCTAAGGTAAATAGGTATCTAGACAGTCCATGCCGTGCACAAATTATGCGAGACTTTATGTACCTGCTCTCCTGTACATAAATATTGTCTCTGCACTGTGTTTTTCGAGCACATCTCCTTATCACACAATAACTTGGGCAACTGACTTCACAAGATATTGACTATAAACACAGTGTAAGGCACAACTACTATCTAGGTACAGACTGTACATAGTAGTGAAGTGCCACAGCCACCACCTATGAGTGGGGCGTACAGGGCTCATATGTATATACGATCATGTGGCTCAAGCTCTCAGCCACACCTGTTCCTGACGCGATAAGGCTGAAGCGTACCTAGGTAGGTATGTACCTGAGACATTCTTACCGTACAGTCTGTACCGCTGAGTGAACTCGTCGCGCGCCAAAAGTTGGTGTTGTATTTTTCCCTAACTCGCCGAGTCAACAGAGTTCTCGGGCATATCTAGATCCTCTCTCCTACCATATGCACCACTACCCCCCATCCGTTCGTATGCGCGTCTACATATTCCGACTCTGAAACAAGGCAGCCATCGAATCCCCGGCAACCCAATCCCACTCTATCAACCCTCTCCCGTTGGGAGTGGCGGCCTGGGGATAATCATCGTTGACCGAAATATCACATTACACATTCTTCACACCGACTGTTACCTCTGTCCCCGAGCCGACTACATTCCTAACGCGTAAACAGAGCCACAAAATGTCCTTCGGCACGCCCAGCTCTTCGGGGCAATCTACCAATCCAACTACCTCTACGGCGCCCGCCAGCCCTGGATTATTTGGTTCATCGACAACCCCCGCCGCTTCTGGCAATTTATTCGGTTCCCAGTCGAAGACTTCTTCCTTCTCGTTCGGCAACGCAGGTAGTGGAGGCAACAACGCCACCACGCCTTCGTCAAACCCTACAGCTGGTAATTTGTTTGGAAGTGCGAATGGGAAGCCGGGCGAACAGAAGTCACTTTTCGGAGCTTCGAGCAGTGGTGCCCCCGGCACCTCCACGCCGTTGTCGAGTGGTGGTGCTGGAGCGAGCGGTAGTCTGTTCAGCGGCTTATCGCAGACTCCCTCAAGCACCGATATGTTTGGAAGCAAACCCGCCGGAACAACAACAACGGGCACGAATCTATTTGGCTCCGGATCTTCGACCCCGACTACCACCGCCGCAAGCACTACACCAATGACTGCCGCTCCCGTCGGCAGTTCCTTTGGCCAGCAGGGCAACACAGCTAACCAGGCAAAGCCTGGCGGACTATTCGGAGCAGGTAGTGGTGGCAGTTTCAGCACCACGCCCGCTACTCAGGCAACGCCTACTAAAACCTCGCTGTTTCCAAGTTCGACGACACCCGCTGGCGCCCCTCCGTTGGATAGCTCCAAGCCCTCCAACGGACTGAGCCTTTTTGGCAAGCCTGCCACTCAGGGCGGCTCGTCCTTGTTTGGCCCGGCTCAGCAAGGCGAAAAGAAGGAGAATCAAACAAGCAACTTATTAGGTGGTCAAGCCAGCTCGTTGTCAAAACCTGCGACAACCCAATCGGCCACAGCAACATCTGGTGCCCCGTCGTTGTTTACCACTGCTAGTCAATCTCCTAAGTTGGGTGCGACATTCGGTACGACGAAGCCTGCCGAGTCTTCGTCTACATTTGGTGCGAAGCCAGCAGGCACCGGCGGCACGTCGCTTTTTGGACAGCCAGCCTCATCTAAACCAACCGAGACAGCCCCTTCAACTGGATCGAGTCTGTTTAGCAATGCCACAACTCCCACGGCATCAGCTGGAAGCACCCCATCATTATTCAAGACTCCCGCTGCAGGTCAACCTCCTAGTACGTCTGCGCCCGCACCAGCAGCGACTCAAACAAATTCACTTTTCGGAAACAAGCCCGCTGCTGGCACCACTGCAACTGAGTCACAAAAGCCCCAGTCCAGCTCTTTGTTCTCTGGTCTTTCAAAACCTGCCACCAGCAGTGCTACGTCCGACGCTTCAAAACCCGCAAATCTCTTTGGCACAACGTCAACATCAACCGCGGGTACATCTGCGCCTGCGACCACGACCACAACTACAGCCCCTACTAGTACTACCGGCGCCGGCGCCGGCGCTACCAGCTCAGCCCCTGTTACAGCATCCTCGGCGGGCTCCCTCTTTGATG